GTTTCAGAGAGTGGAATTGGAAATGCTTGGCAAAGCTGTTTTGATTACCCTTTTGAATGGTTAAAATGATTCTGGGTAAATACTCTGCAGAAAACCACGTGGCAGTATGTATTGTGTAGCAGGTAACTGCTTCTATGTATTTAAAATATGTAATGCTCAATGTTTTAGGTTCTGAAATGGAAATCTTTGGTAAAGAGGTTTTGTCTATGTATGTGGATGGCTAAAGTGATTCTGGGCAAACATTTTTTCTCTGTACTCTAATTGCTTATATATTCAAATGCTGCATGTACCTATTTGTTTATTGGTTGGTTTATTTTCATAAATTACTCATGAGTTAAAGCTGATGATTAGTGGAAGAGGGAATGAAGTAATGTATCTATAATTTTGTTTTGTTAGATAAATATGGAAGCTATCAGGTCCTAAAAAATACGTCCTAAAATTATCTAAATATGGGATATTGGTGTTACGAGCAATCATTAAAAGATATAAAAAATATAAAGCAAGACAGAAATGAGACTGAAAATAGAGCTTTACTATGATAGTATGACACAACATGCTGAAGGCTACAGTTGCTGGAATAAAAGTATTTGGTAAAGTTAAAAAAACAAAAAAAACAATATTGCTGAATTGGTATCAGAATTAGCTTGTTTACACAGTATTTTATGGTTTTGTTGTTGTTAATTGTTGTTTTAATGATATCGTACTGAGATTCTTGTGAACTGCCCTGAGCCTGTCTATGGGGAGGGCGGGATACAAATCAAATAAATAAAATAAAAGGAAGAAACCATTCCTTCTGCCACCTCCTTCTGTGAAGAGCTGTAGCCCCAGGTTCTGCACTTCTGGCTTAAAGGAATGCACACAAATGGCTATAACGTATTTCTTGAGAAAGCTCTGAGCACAAGCACGAAGGAGAGGGGGTGCAGCAGGGGCCTGTGGCCACTTAGCTAAGCAGATTCCAAATACTGATGCAAGTACTGGGCAGGGGTCTAAAGTATTTGAACTGTTAGTAACCCAAAAGGTATTTCAAAGGTTTGGACAAAGTTGTGCAATGCACCTCTGGGTACATGGTGAAGCAGAACATGAGCACAGGGCTGCCAGGGCCACAAAGCAGCGACCCAAGTAGTAGGCCAAGTGGAGACCCAGAGGTGGAAATAACCAAGGCAAAAAAGGGGGGGCGGGAGCACGATAACAGGAAACTGGCAGAAATTCATACAATGGGGTAGGTTCTGGCTAAAGTTACAGATCTTGAATGAAAACAAAGCATTCCTTTCCCTCTCAAGTTTGGAGAAACTAGAGAGAAACCCAGTGAGTTAACCAGTGTGGACCCTTGAGTAACCAAATGTGAGAAGGAGAGAGTTCCTAGGTTCTGGGAACATTCAGGGAAATATCACAGCAGGGAAGAAATACTTTGCAGGCAGGCCACTGAAGTCAATCAGCCCAGAATGATGCATGTAACTTTAAGACCGTAATGTTGCTTACCTCACTTCGCTGGGATTTTTGGTGGAAAACTCCAACCAGCCCATACTGGGTCAGTGTGGATGGAGAATCTTTCAGAGGGAAATGCCGATGCAAGTCTAGATCTTTGCTGGCAGGAATGTTAAAGTAGTAGGATTCTTTGTATCTGAATATACTTGACTATTGAGAGGTCTTGATTAATGCCTTGAAGTCTGAGCAAAGGGAGACGCTTGTCCCTGAGTCAGCCTTTGTTCCCAGTGAGTGTTATTAAATTATGTGGAATTGTGCCTGATCCTGCCCCTTAGTTTTTGGGGATGCAGAAGGCCCAAAACTTGCTTTCAGGGTTTCAAGTGCCTGGCAGAGAAGGGAAGGTCTCAGCGGCCAAGACTGGAGGTGAAGCCCAATGATCACTCACAGAAAACCAGTTCTGAATAACTATAATAGAATCCTTCTGAACTGTTTCATCAGCGTATTCATAATACCTATGTCTGCTGGAGCAGTTCTGCCTTCCCAGCACAAGCACAGTATCACGGCTTGAGGTAGAGCTGGACCACAATTCCCCAAATGCCAAGCACAGGATGGCACTGCAGCAGCTGTTGCTGTCCATACCTCTCTGCTCTTTTAGTTTATGGAACAGTTTAGAACATCAGGACTGTTTCAGGGATTGTTTTTACTCATGCATGTTAACTAAGGCACAATTTCAGCAATGCAGCCTCCCCGTGGGGCATGAGAGAGGGGTAATGTCAGTGGTGTATTAGCTCTCCCCCCATTAAAAGGTAAACGTTTCCCCTTGCTTGAAAGTCAGTTGAATCAGACTCTAGGGGGCGGTGCTCATCTCCGTTTCCAAGTCGAAGAGCCAGCGCTGTCCAAAGACATCCAGTGGTCATGTGGCCGGCATGACTAGATGCCTACTTACTGAGATCGGAGTTCCTTTCCGGTGATGATCAGTTTTGTTTCCAGCACACCCTTTCTTGCCTGCAGATTATAAATACAAATACTGTGTTCTAGCAAACTGTGATTTACTCCATGGTGCCTTCAAAATTCTTCCCTTCCAAATTCACCTCCAGACTGTCACAGTTCTGTATCCCCCCCTCCCCCCTCCGGTATCTGCCACTCTCGTGTTTTGACTTCTGCACCTCACCGAGAGCCCTGCAAACTTCAGTTCCTCCGTGGCTTTAATTATCTTCTATTCATTCTCTTTCTCCCTTCCCACCCATCTTATCAGAGCACATGAGAGCTTGTGCACCTTGATAAATCACAGCATAAAGGCAATTCTGATGCACTCATCTGCTTGCATGTGCTGAATTTCATCACTATTCATGACCACTTGTGCTGATCAGTGAGGAGAGAGAGAGAGAGACAGAGAGAGAGCATTAATTTCATAAGGGCACCCACCATCGACATTTAGGATAGAACTCCTTCCTCTCAAAAGGTGTAGCTTATTTTAAGCACATGTGACAGCTGAGATCTGGAGAAGGCAATAAGTGAACTAGGATGTCGACTAGAATAGCCATGACTTCCTGATGGTACCTTCCACCAACACGGCTGCATATTTTTCAGCTGCTGGAATCACAGGAATCACTTCCAGGAACCTACAGCTACTTTTTTTTTAAAAAAAGTTAGATTCTGCCTTTTTACTGAAGTATTTCCAGCACAGTTAAAAAGCAAAAAGGTCCAGCAGGGCAAAAGTCAGAGGCCAACATATCTGAAAGATAGTTTTCTTCCATTTGTTCTCGTCCCTTTATTGAGATCGCTCCCTGGAAGCCCTGCTGCACTTCCCTCTTTTTTCTAAGGGACTAGGAGCGGGGACTTCTCAGTTGAGGCACCCTAGCTTTGGAATCCCTCCCCCACCAGCAGTTTTCCTGGCACCAAGGCTCACTGAGATTTTGGCGCAAGGTGTAAATTTATTTTCCCAGCCTTTCTAATTCGGTTGTGCCAATTACTGCTATTGTTTTGCTGCTGCAGCTGCTTTCAATTCGTATTTCTGATTTTTGGTAAGTGGCTGCTGGCTGGTAATATTTTTAAGCTGCTTTAACTGACATTGTCTAATGCTTTGTTCTGTGAAATGACTGCTGGTTTTCTAATATTTTATAGCAGAAGCCTTCTGGCAGTCCCTTTGATGTCTGCCAGTGCCTCTGGAGGGAGGAATTGGGGGGGGGGGAGATCTGGTACACCAGTGTCACATTAGTGCTCCTATTATCACTTCTGGTTTAAAGCAAAGGTGACACAGGATGCTCTAGCATTCTGCAAAAACTCTATGAGGTTCCCCAAATGCCAAGCACAGGAGGGCACTGCAGCAGCTGTTGCTGTCCGTACCTCTCTGCTCTTTTAGTCTATGGGACAGTTTAGAACATCAGGACTGTTTCAGGGATTGTGTTTACTCATATTTAATCCAAAAATATCCACTACCCAATTACTCCCAGGGGCTGCTGGCTGTAGCCTGGAAATCTTAAGTGGCCTGAGTCAAGGCCACCACTTCCTCACGCACAGGCCTCTGGGCTTGCATTTGCCAGATACCCTTCAGGCCCAGGACTGGGCATGGTGGGCTTGGAGAGAAAACATCTGCTGAGGAGGAAGAACCCTGAGAAAGCATATAATACCCTATGGGGGGTGATGCTCACTCCCTGAAGCAGGGCTGCAGTGAGGTTGCTTTTGGAGAGAGACTATCCTTCATCAGAAAGTGGGGGGTGAATCTGACCTAATGGGGACCAGGTATTGAAACAGTGATAAGAATCCAGCTAGATAAGTTACATTACAGGACTTTAAGAACATAAGAGAAGCCAGTGTTGGATCAGGCCAGTGGCCCATCCAGTCCAACACTCTGTCACAAAGTGACCAAAATTGCCAGGTGCCATCAGGAGGTCCAGCAGTGGGGCCAGGACACCAGAAGCCCTCCCACTGTTGCCCCCCCCACCCCGCACCAGAAATACTTTTGTTTACCAGCTGGCTCCTTTCCACGTGATTTTTGCTCTGTGTGTTTATAGCGTACTCTATAGTCACTCTTCTCCATTTTATTATTTATTACATTTATTTTGTCAAATTTCTACCCTGCCCTCCCAGCCAAGGCCGGCTCAGGGCGGATTACATAAAACGGCACATAATAAAATTCTTCCATTTTATTATTTATTACATTTATTTTGTAATTATTTTGTAATTGTAAACAATTAAAACACTTAAGACAATACCACGACCAACTGATGACATAATAAGTGCTAGTATTATTGCCCTTGATTCTAGTAACTGGTTTTACTTAACTGTTATAATATTTGGTTAATACTTTCGTCTTTTTTGTTCACTCTGCCGGGGTCCTTCACGCTTTGTACTCTGCCCTGCAGCAGGGCACCACCAACTAAAGAGAGAGCTGCTGGGGGAGGATGGGGCAGGGAAGATGCCATGGGCCCCCTCCCCAGTCAACCCCTTGAACCAGAGCAGTGGAAGCAGAGGATCCTTCGGGGCTGCATAGAGGTGGAGGGCTCCTTGGAAGGGATCCCTCATCCCCAAGAAGACATGGCACAGCCTCACCCCATTCCGCAACACAGGGCAGTGGGGGTTAGCCTCTAATGAAAAATGAATGGGGGACACTGAAACACCGGACGTCTGAGAGATTGCAGTCTAAGTGTATTTAGCACTGAAAAAGCTTGCAACTAATGTTGGCTGCTCTCTGTTGATGGAGCATGACACCCATTCCACTGTTTAAAAATCCATACTTCCCAGAGGTTTTGGCTTTAAATGAGTCTGTGTTTAAAGTCTGAGTTTTTTAAGAAAGGTCAAAGGTCTTTGCAAATCCATATAACGAAATTGTTTTCAATTTTTTTAAAAATAATTCAGATCAAAGTCACAATAAAAATAACAACACAGGTTTGACAATCGATGTAGCCGGGGCTTATGTGACTAATTACACTACGTGAAGCCTCTTTTGACAAACATAGGATTTAATAGTATTTACAGTATTTCATTCTAATTCTGAATTTGCCTCCCAGGAAAGTAAAGCAACAAAGGTAACCCCCATTACCTGCAATGGCTCCTTGTCCCACCTCTCTGCACTGAAGACCCTCTTCAACCAGTTCAATCAACATGAAACGTATTCATTCATTACATAACTGCAGCAACTATTCCACATCTTACAGGCACCTCTTTAAATAACTTGCTTACTTTACCCATCCTGGGAGGTAAGGCCACTTCAAGCGTTGCAACGCCTGTTGCCTTATAAGCTTCATTTCCGGTTCCCCGCTCAATCGTTTTACAACGTATTTCTTCCAGGAGGGCCTCTATTTCATTGGTGTTATACTTTAGCCTCGCCGAATACTGCCGTGCCAGATCCTAAGGCAACAACATGAATTTGTTAAGAACAGGAGAGCAGAAAGCATAAGGAACTTAAAAAACAGTTGCAACACGGCAGCTGTCCAAGACGTACCTTCAGCTCCGCACCAGCCTCTTTATTGCTGTCTGTATAGGGAGGTTTCCAGAGCTGAATCTTGTCTTCCCTTAAGTAGTTTTTCAGCTTTGCGGCAAAATACTTCTTCTGTGCCATCCTTGCATAAGAAAACAAATAAAACGTTTACTCTCACGTACTGTCTTTGCCCAGACAGATACTGAAAATCTTGTTCTCAACTCAAGCAGAAGCCACGCTCGATTTTTTTCAGATTCCCTATAAGAGAGCGCTCAAACTGCTACGACTCCATGTCACAATGACTTTGAAACCCATGTCGTTGAGGCTATGGTAGCCTGCTTAGGAGTGCAGGGAGGGACATTTATAAAAGCAATGAAACGGAAGCCATTAAGCCGTGACGCGGCTTGCACTTTGATAGCCAGGCATGGTGCTTTCTTCACGGGGCCTGCAGATGTTCTTAGAGGCTAGATCACACATCACGACCTTTTGCAAAGGATACTTAGGTAAGGAGATCTGAACAGTTCTAAAGCTGAGACAGAATCCCACATTTTTTGGAGTCGACTGGAAAGAAGCTGCCTTAAAGTGCTCTAAAGTGTTACTGCAAGCTCTGACTTGGAGAGTCCAGGCAAGTCAGATTTCAGAAGCTAAGCAGGGCCGACCCTGGTAAGTACTTGGATTGGAGACCTCCAAGGAATACCAGGGCCCAGACACAGAAGCAGGCAATAGCAAGCCACCTCTCTGAAATGTCCAGGTCCCACTAGGGGTTGCCAGAAGTCAACCATGATTTCCAGGCACATGCGTGTGCACACAAAATACTCGCAAAAAATAAAGTGTTATTGCAAGCTGATGCCAAGATGCACACTGCCTGTCTTGCGTGCTCCCTCCTGAAAATTAGGATTTTGTTCAAGCATTATTTGGCTTGCTCTCACAGCAGTATTACATTACGAAGCATGCATTTTTATCAGCGCAGTGTCAGTTCCAGCTTGCCTGCTATGTATATTCTAAAACAAAAATCAAATGAAAAAGCCATAAAGAATATGATACAAGCGAGCGACACACAAGACCATTCAGCAGACGCTCGGTAACAAGCAGCCGATACATTTGGAACAGATGTTTGTTGATAATTTATCATGATGATTTTATTTCATCATAGAGCCCTTCCCTTTCTTGTAAACAGGGTTTTATAAGGAGGTATTGACAAGTTAAAACCATACACTGGAAACAACTGAGAGAAAAAAATCTAGCGTCTGAGCTTGTAAACAGATTCATGGAGATGGATGCCCAATCGGCAAAGGTAGCATAAAACACAGCGCCGTGTCTTCTCCTAGGATAACTGTATGCTACGAAATCATACTACGAATCTAGGCAAATTAAAATCCTAGCTGAATATTATATGGCTGGGAGAAGTTCTAGATACAGTGACAGTGGGCCAGGGTTACCGAACAACCAGGAGAAAGGAGAAACTAGCAGATAACACTTTTCTCAGCACAGAGAAAGAGATAATGCCTGCAGATCGTCACTGCTAACAATTCCGTTACAGAGGTCAGTTGAGAAACTGGCAACATTAGCTGACCTGAAACAGAAGTGAAAGGGAAAGGCACAATCTTTAAACCACTTTTCCCAGCAAAACTCGCTACCCTGGAATATCTATAATTCCAGGAGTTCAGCTGTCGCTGTGCGTATCTGCCATCTCTCACAAGGCCTTTCACATTTTAATACCTGCCAACCATCCCAGTGAAGCCAGTCACTGCCAGATTTTCGCAGACATAGCCAATAACACCCTGCCAGCATTTTGGTATTTTTGGATTTGTGATGCAAGTAGGAAGCCAGGGGGGGAAAGTGATTCTTGGTTCCTTCCTAGGTTCTCTCTCTCTCAACATATGGCTAAGCAGAAGGTCAATGGCTTATCTTAGATTATTCCCTTCCAACCAGCCAAATCTGTGCTCTTCCTTGCCTGGCACTGCTACTTCTGTTTTGGCCAGCACAGAAAGTACAGCCCAGTGTGAGAAAGATTCCCAAGGAGCTGGAGAGAGACAGGAGATCTCAAAGAGGATGACTATAAATGAAGAGAGGAAAAACTCAGAGCATGGTGTGAAACAAATCTATAGGCCGAGCCTCTGACACATTCGAGAGACTTGCCTGTGACTGCTCAAAGATCTGGCACTGATCTTTAAACGCTGCCATCTGCTACTTGGAACTACGCAGTAACAAAAGATCCGTTTGTTTTTTTGCTTTCGTTTATAGCATGCAATTCATAACCTTTTCACACAATAGATTCGGGTGGGTAGCAGCACTGGTTTGAAGCAACAGAACAAAGTTTGAGTCCGGTGGCAACTTTAAGACCAATAAAATTTAATTGTGGGTATAAGCTTTTGTGCGAATGCACACTTCTTCACAGACATTGAAACAGACTTCACCAACCTTTACATATAGGTAGAGAAAAGGTGTGTGTGTGTGGGGGGGGAGGTTAGTTGCCAGGAAGGCCTAACTGGAGTTGAGATGCATAAGTAACTGAGCGATAAGTATAGCTGAGATTGGATTAAAGCAGTTTGAAAAACCTGTGAATAGCAGGTTTCACACAAGGTCACAGAGAGCACAAGCGAAAGGAAAATGAAAGGGGAGGGACCCAGTTCTAATTCGGCATTCTTCTGTTTGTGTAACTCCCAAATCTCCAAATTTAGCAGTAACTTTCAGCCAAGGCTGCAGTAAGAGACCCGCCAACTAGCGTACCAAGCTCTCTTTAAAAGTCAACTGCAGAGGCTTTGTGAGACACATATGTCACTGATTTAACCCCTCTCTGCTCAAACAGGATACAAATTTTCTCTCCTAAGTGCTGCACTTAGCCTTAAAGACACCTTCACCTCCTGCCCCCTACATGAATCTTGGACTTTTAATAACTGACAAACTGTAACCCAACAAGACTTGCCCATCACTATATGCTGGGGTAAGATGACTTTCACCCTATAACACAGCATATTTATTACATTTCTTTCCTATCCTTCTTCCAACCTGCAACTCAAGGCAACATACAAAAGATTCCACGAATGTCTCCTACCCACATGACATATCTTATCCAGCGCCTGACCTGCATCACACACCTTCTGACAGTACCCTTGGACAAACAGAAAGTAACCTCAAAGGATCCGAACACAGGACATTTTTTTAAAAAAACACACACATAGTATTTAAACTTAGACACAAAGGACAATTTTCAAGGGGCAAGGATTTGGTCCGCAACCAATGGAAGTGGCACATTCCCCTTCCTTCTAAAGCAAGCTGGCATGGAGAGAAGTGCCAAAGGAAAAAAATGTCATCTCTGTGATTTCTGTGGGTCAAGTTGCCCCACAAAGGCCAAAAAAACAAGGAAACAGAAGACTTGGGCTGAGGACGCTGTTTTTTGAGGATCGAGCAGATGTGGGGGAAATCGGGTGAAGCTGCGGGGCAAAATGTGGCCGCACAGCAAACAGTGGGGAAATTGACACATACAATCGGGGAAAGGGAAGAGAGCGGAGCAGCAGCTTGCGGGAAATCAGTCTGTATGTGGTTCACATTTATCTCCCAACCACATTTTTGCCCCTTCAAGAAGAGAAGAAGAGACTGGATTTATACCCCGCCCTTCACTACCCAAATGTGTCTCAGAGCGGCTTACAAACTCCTTTCCCTTCCCCTCCCCACAACAGACACCCTGTGAGGTAGGTGGGGCTGAGAGAGCACTGACAGAAGCTGCTCTTTTTCAAGGACAGCTCTTGTCAGAACTACGGCTTGCCCAAGGTCATCCAACCAGGTGTAAGCGGAGGAGTGGGGAATCAGGTTAGAGTCCGCGCACTTAACCACTACACCAAACTGGCTAATAAGGTACATGATTCTTGCCTCTCCCATGAAGTAGTATACTGAGCTCAGAGAAAGGAAAAAAAGGCAGTTTTGGAAGGTGGACTCCATTGCATTACACCCCTACTGAACTACCCCCCCCCAAAAAAAAACCCTCCACCTCCCAAGGCTCCACCTCCCAAATTTCCAGGAGTGTCCCAAGCTGGACCCCCTCCCCAACTCCACTCTCCCCAGGTTCCACCCCCTAAACTGGAGAAATTCCCAAAGCTGGAGGTCCCCCCCCTCCCAACTCCACCCTTCCCAGGCTTACGGTTGCCAGGTCTAGAAAACACCTGGCGACTTTGGGGGTGGATCCAGGAGAGGGCAAGGTTTGGGGAGGGGCCTCGGCGGGGTACAATGCCAATAGAGTCCGCCCTTCAAAGCAGCCATTTTCTCCAGGGGAGTTCATCTCTGTCAGCTGGAGATCAGTTGTGAAAGCGGGGGATTCCCAGGCCCCACCTGGAGGCTGGCAACCCTTTTTTCCAGGTGATGCCTGGAGACCTCAAGACAAAGGTCCGTTCCCCGGGAGAAAATGGCTGCTCTGGACGGTGGACTCTATGACATTGTACCCCCCCCACTCCCTGTCCTCCCCCGACAAAAAAATCCAGGCATGCCCAAAGCTGGAGTTGGCAACCCCGGGGCCGCCCTCGGAGCACTGCAAGCGAGGCCAGTCCAGCCCCCTCCCACCCATACCTACTGCGCAAGGGCTCTTACGGAAGGTTACGTTAAGGAACGAAGGCCGCTGAGGAGGAAACGAAACGGGGGAAGCGGAGAAGGGAAGGGGGGGCCTACACGCGTGTCAGAAGGCGAACGTGAGGAGGGTCTCTCTGGCGGCTCTTCCTCCATCCCCACCCACTGCGGGGCAAGGCCCACACAGCCACTCACCTGCGCGGTGCCCCCCTCCGGAGGCGCCAGGGGCAGGGCGGGAGACGGCGCGCGCGGGGGACCGTTTGGCTCGGCCGCGCTCCAGGCCGGTGGGGGGAGGAATGAAGGAGGGGGGGGCGGCGGCGAAGGGGCTGCCGGGTCTTTTCGGGAAAGGCCCTCAGAAACGAAAGTAAACACGGAGGCGCCGCCTTCTCCTCCAACGCCCCGCCCCTCCCCGTGGTGGCGTCACGTGACTGTTAGACGCCGACGAGGCCGACGACGGCGCCATTTTAGCGCCGCCCGGATCGAGGGAGGCGTAGAGCTGTCCTCCCGGGGTCCCTTTCTTGCCCTCTCCTTCCCTTTTCTGCCCAAAATAAAACCATAATGAAATATATTCTCTGCTGCTTCGGTTGTTTTTTGTTTGTTTCTGTTTTTTTATTAATCATTTCAACAAATACAACAATAATAGGTAAAGGCAAAGGTTTCCCTTGCTCGAAAGCCAGTCGAGTCCGACTCTAGGGTTGCGGTGCTCATCTCCGTTTCCAAGCCGAAGAGCCAGCGCTGTCTGAAGACGTTTCCGTGGTCATGTGGCCGGCATGACTAAACACCAAGGCGCACGGAACTCTGTGACCTTCCCACCGAAGTGGTACCTATTTATCTACTTGCAATTTCTTGCTTTCGAACTGCTAGGTTGGCAGGAGCTGGAACTAGAGACTGGAGCTCACTCCGTCATGCGGCACACTCGGGTCTGGAACTGCTGAACTACCGACCTTCCAGCCTGCAGTTCAGCGTCTTAACCACTTGAGCCACCACAGCTCTAATACAATAATAGTAGAACAAAAATAACCGACTTTTCACTACATAACACACTGTGTTTTTGTCAATATATAGTTCTCTTTAGCATCATCTCTTTGCCAGTTTGGTGTAGTGGTTAAGTGTGCGGACTCTAATCTGGGAGAACCGGGTTTGATTCCCCACTCCTCCACTTGCACCTGCTGATGTGACCTTGGGTCAGTCACAAGCTCTGGCACAGCTGTTCTTGAAAGAGCAGTTTGTGTCAGAGTTCTCTCGGCCCCACCCACCTCACAGGTTGTCTGTTGTTGGGAGGGGAAGGGAAAGGAGTTTGTAAGCCACTCTGAGACTGCAAGTGAAGGGCGGGGTATAAATCCAATCTCTTCTCCTCCTCTTCTTCTTTTGTTACAAGAGGGCTATACATTTACTATTTCTGTTATTGTCAAAAGAATTCGGGCTTTCTCAATCAAAGCGACATTTTTCCAACACAGGGTACCATTTCTCCAGGTAATTTGAAGCAGCCAAGGGGTTTTCTGATCTAATGTCTTCTGCTGTTTTGTCCATAATGGCATAATCCCAGATTTTAGAATACCAGGCTTCTATTGAAGGGGAGTTTGGCATCTTACAATTTGTGGCTATAACGTTCTTTGCAGCCAGTATTAGTATCGAAATGAGCTCACATTCTATCTTGGGAATGTTTAACTCCTGTCAAAGGTTTAGCAGGGGAAAGTAAATTTTTGAAGGTCCAGTCTGCATTGGCACCATTTTCCCTGCCACACCACAGCAGGGTTTAAAAAACAAAAAAACAGTGATTGCTATAGTGGTATAGCAATTCTCATTTTTTTTTAAAAAAAACACCCCAGTGGCATGGTGTTGAAAACTGGTGGCTAACAGAGGAAAGTACACAAAAACTCCCACATACATGCTCCATTGCCAATGTGAATATTTCTACATTTGTAGTGGCTATGGATGCTGAACAGAGAACCCTCACTGTGTAGAAGAAGCCATGTTCACAGAAATTAATCCTGCTTCAATCCTGTTTAAATGAATGGTGTAGGTTAACTTGTCCTATTCAGAAGAATACAAAACATAAATAAAAATACAAATATTCTATCAAACAATGTAATACACTGGCAGTCTGGCATGATTATCAGAGAAGCTAATAGCAGACCAGTAAGACTGCCACTATGGAATGCCATTATACTATATATTCATTTCAACAATAATGTGATGAAATGTCACCAAAATATCTGAAACAGAATTAAATAACAAGCTAAGGTTATGAGGTCAATGCTTGTGAAGCAATAAATGTGTCTAGATCAATTTGAGACTCTCCATTCACTCTCAGAGTGGGGTCGCTTAACAGCATTTTTACTCTCTCTTCCACCTCGAAAGAGAAATGCTGTTCCATGGAGATAGATTAAGATAGGTAGACTAGCCGCGTTATTCTGCAGCAGTGGGAAGAGCCAACGTCCAGTAGCGCCTTAAAGACGAGCAACATTTGTGGCAATAGAACAAGAGTTTAAGAGTCCAGTGGCACCTTTATTTTGTGCACACACATAAAACCTCACACCTTGAATAAAACTTGGTTGGTCTTCAAGGTGCCACTTGACTCAAACTTTGTTCTATCTCTATCTATCTAGTACTGCTCATACGGCTATCACCTTGAGCAGAAATCAGAACCAAAGAAAATATTTTAAAAGACCTTAGTATTATTTCTCTGAAGACCCTGATGCTGGGAAAGATTGAAGGTCAAAGAAGACAGGGATGGCAAAGGATGAGATGGTTAGACAGTGTCATAGATGCAACGAACATGAAGTTGAGCAAACTTAAGAGGACGGCGGAAGACCGGAAGGCCTGGCGAGATCTGGTCCATGGGGTCGCGAAGAGGCGGACTCGACTGTGCGACTGAACAACAACAACAACGAACAACAATTATTTCTCTTATATTTTGTTATTGCACCTATGAATTTTGCCACTGAGAGGGTGACAGGATCATTGGTATCCGATAGTAGCCATGACACCTGGGCTTGCACATTTAGCAGTTTCATATCCTTAAGTAAAGGGGTCACTAAATTAGCCCTCAACTCATCGAATATAGGGCACTCCATAATCATATGTTCAATGGGTTTTGATTGTATGATATGAGCATCTTGACTCTAACCAGCCCTGCCTGGCAAGTAACTCCCCTACCTACATTTAAGGCTTGAGGAAGTCGGTTTCAATGTATCTGTAAAAGTGTGCATGCACACAAAAGCTTAGACCCAGAATTAAACTTTGGTGGTCTTAAAGGTGCCACTGGACTCAAACTTTGCTCAGTTGTACATGTGTGTGTGTGCTTGTGTGCGTTAAGTGCAAGTCGCTTCCGAGTTATGGTGACCCCATGAATCAATGTCCTCCAAAATGTCCTATGGTTAACAGCCTTGCTCAGGTTTGCAAATGGAGGGCTGTGGCTTCCTTGATTGAGTCTATCCATCTCCTGGTGAGTCTTCCTCTTTTCCTGTTGCCTTCAACTTTCCCTAGCATTATTGTCTTTTTCATTGACTCTTGTCTTCTCATAATGTGACCAAAATACGGTAGCCTCCGTAGGTCATCTAAGGCCCCTGCCACACGGGGGGAAATTGATGCGGCCAAAGTGCGGCTTTGTAAAGCCACACCAAAAGAAACACGCAGTGGCGGGATCAGACGGATCCCATGAGCCGCTGCGCAGTTGCTCCCCGGCACGATCAGATGCCGGGGAGAAAGCCACAGAAGGGAGCGCGAGGCAGCCAGCTGCGCATGTGACCAAAATACGGTAGCCTCAGTTGGTCATCTAAGGCCCCTGCCAAACGGGGGGAAATTGATGCGGGCAGCCAAAGTGCGGCTTTGTAAAGCCGCACCAAAAGAAACACGTGATGGCGGGATCAGACGGATCCCGTGAGACGCTGCGCAGTTGTTCCCCGGCACGATCAGATGCCGGGGAGAAAACCATGGAAGGGAGCGCGAGGCAGCCAGCTGCGCATGTGTGCGCATGCGCCGTTCGGCTGGGAGCCTCGAATGCTCCTGAAGACAGGTGCGCCGGCAATCCCACGGCCGTGCTTGCTGCGCCATTTTAGGTAAGTCCTCCTCTTTTGCTGGTTCTTGGCATATGCTAATGAGTTATGCTAATGAGTTCCCCTAGCTCTTTTTCTACAAAACTACCCCTGGATGCAGCCAAGGTGCAGCTTTGTAAAGCCGCACCAAAAGAAACACGTGATGGCGGGATCAGACGGATCCCGTGAGACGCTGCGCAGTTGTTCCCCGGCACGATCAGATGCCGGGGAGAAAGCCATGGAAGGGAGCGCGAGGCAGACAGCTGCGCATGTGTGCCTCGAATGCTCCTGAAGACAGGTGCGCCAGCGATCCCACGGCCGTGCTTGCTGCGCCATTTTAGGTAAGTCCTCTTCTTTTGCTGGTTCTTTTTTTCAGCGCATTTTCGGCCTGAAGGGCCAGATCGGGGACGGGTGTGCGCTGCTTCCCAGATATTGCAGTGTGCTCGCGCCCGTTTGCTGCGCCCCCGATCCGTCCCTCTTTCGGCCCAAAACCTCCCGTGTGACCGAGGCCAAAATCTCCATCCATCCATCGTCTTCATACATAGGGTGAGGAACAACAACTGTAGGGCCAAATGGAACAACCTGCAATAGGAATCTCTAGCTTTGCTTAGTCTCATGTACTTCAATTTCCCTCATTTTTCTTTGTTCCTAAGTTCATCTGTGTGTGTCAGGTCAAGTTTATTTGGTACGTAACCAGCACAAATAGGTTGTAGCCATGTTTTACCTCCGTCAGTAATACAACCAGGGCTATTTTTGGGCAGGAACACACAGGAACGGAGTTCCGGCTGGCTCCCAAGTTGGCCACGCCCAGCAGGAACTCATTAGCATAATGGGCCACACCCAACAGCAGAAACTCATTAGGATTGGCTACATTAGGGGTGTGCGGCCTAACATGCAACCGAGTTCCTGCTACAGAAAAAGACCCTGGGTTTTGACCACAAACAAGGTAAACAGAATAACAAGCAAAAGGTGGGTGTGGCTGGATGAGCACACTTCTGGTAACATGGGGGTGCGGCCTAATGTGCTAATGAGCTGTGCTGTCAGGGGTGTGGCCCAATATGCTAATGAGTTCCTGCTGTTGGGTGTGGCCTATTATGCTAATGAGTTCCTGCTGGGCTTTTTCTACAAAAAGAGCCCTGAAATACAACTGTAACAATTTTAAAAATTGAGACAGTTTTCTTCTGTGTGGGTGTGTGCGCGCACACACCAATTATTCCACCTGTCTAGGACACCATTCCGTGAATCTGTCAAAATGGATTCTGGACCGTCAAAGGTTGTGGCACCATACACTCAGTAACATGTAAAGGTGCTAAAGGACTCTTAGGGTTCCCAACTTTAAGGTGGAGTTCTCTGGAAATTACCACTGATCTCTGGACTACAGAGATCAATTCCTCTGGAGAAAATGGCAGCTCCAGCAGGTAGACTCCCTGGCATCACATGCCTATGGAGCTCCTTTCCCCAAACCTGGCCTCCCTAGGCTCCACCCCCAAACCTTCAGGAATTTCCTAACCTGGAGTTGGGAACCCTAAACTGCATACAAGCTCAGCAGCAGGAATTGCTTATTATGGTACTGAAAAGTGCTGTGTATACTAATGAAATGACAACAGCAACAACCAACCTTGAGAGCCAGTTTGGTGTAGTGGTTAGGAGTGCAGACTCTAATCTGGGAGAACTGGGTATGATTCCCCACTCCTCCACGTGCAGCTGCTGGCATATCCTTGGGTCAGTCACAGTTCTCTCAGAGCTGTTCTGTCAAGCAGTTCTCTCAGAGCTCTCTCAGCCACACCTACCTCACAGGGAGTCTGTTGTGGGGAGAGGAAGGGAAAGGGATTGTAAGCCATTTTGAGACTCCAAGTGAAGGGTGGGGTATAAATCCAATTGCCTCCTTCTCCTCCTCCTCCTCCTTCTTGACTTTTTGAGCCACGGGATTGTGAAATAGTTGTGTTTAGTGTGCATGCCCTGTGCAGATCTCAGTCTGGTGTAGACATTACAGCAACCTTCTAACTTTTACAGCTACGTGAGCCATCTGCTTCTGTGAGCAGTGTAACATCTCAAAGGGTAACACAATGGAAGATCACACCAGCTACTGCTGTGACAAGAAAAATGACAAAATGTATTTTTTCCCCCTTCTCACAGAAGTAGCTACTGTGATCTTCCTTACGGCCCTTCTTCAGATGTTAATTTATACACTGAAAAACAAAAGGAAACTCTTTCACAATATAAGATCGACACTGGCTTTCAGTAGCAGACAATGCATAAAATAACATATCTCACAGCAAGAAACAATCAAACAGACCAAAAAAAAAATGCCAGGGTGGATACAACGTAGTTCTATATTTCTAACGTCTCTTTCCCATAAAATAGCAATGCTTTCATGGATATGAATCATGTTATACTGTCATTATTTAATTAACATACACACAAAAAGCAAATGTATTTTCTGGCCTGCATCTGAGAAAATAACGTGGAAAAACACAACAGATGGAATATATGTACTACATTCATTCTTGGAAATGACAATAAAACAAGCGTCATCTGAATGGTGCATTCACTAATTTTTACAAAGTACAAAGTCATTGTATGAGTTAATAATCTTTGTTAACAGGGTTCTAAAAGTGGCATCGCATCTTGCCAGTCCAGACAGTTAAATCAGTGATGTAAACCTCTGTTCGATTCAAGTCATACATAGCTTTCAGAAATGCTGTTTTCATTGTTTTGAAACATAAGGCAATCAAATTCCAGTTCCTAAAGCTCAGTAGTTTGTGGGAAAACAGAATTTCTGTATCATGACAAAAATTACATTTTAAATAATTACATTTATATCTGGAATGGACAGAAAAGGGATTCCTTTTCAAAGGGCCACTTGGAGTTTGCTTAGATGGGTCCAGGAATCCCAGACTAATAATGTGAGAATTGCCTGACTGGGTCAGACCAAAGGTACAGGTAGATCAACATCTTCCCAGACTAGGGATGCTAGCGTCCAGGTGGGACCTGGGGATCAATGTTCCCTCTAAGCTGAGTTAGTGTGAGCTAGCTCAGAGTTTTTTAGCCTCCGGCTCACACATTTTTGTCTTAGCTCAGGAAGGATGGCTCCAGAGCAAACTAATTTATGCAGTAGCCAGATCGCTCATTCACAACTTTAATGCCAGTAGCTCCCAAAGTAGAATTTTTGCTCACAAGACTCCACAACTTAGAGGGAGCATTGCTTGGGGATCCTATGAAATTACAGCTCATCTCCAGACTACAGAGATCAGTTGCCTTGAAGACAAGGGTCATTTTGTAGGAAAAGAGGAGCAGGAGCTCATTAGCATAACTCATTCGCATAACTTATTTGCATATGCCACACCCCCTAACATCACTGGAAGTGTGTCAGAAGGCAACACCC